AGCTTTGCGCGAAATTCAAAACAAAACAAACAAACTTTCTCTCGCCTCCCAGTATGCTTATGGACTTACAACGCTAGAAACCGAATTTCAACACCCGTAGTGGGCAGAGCACAGACAACCTATTGTGTATCTTTGTGCTTAACTTCAAACACATTCTCTCTCTCTCTATATATATATATATATACATATATAGAAACAAGCCCAAGCATCTCGTTATCCTAACTTGTATTTCTTTAATTATTTTATTTTTTATGAATCTCTTCATGTGAGACGGAGGTTAAGACTGATAGACGGTGTGTCCCCAACCTAATGTGGGTCTTACTTCCACTGTCACCTCCAAAACTCAGGGCACATTTTATATCACACGTTATAGCCTGTACCCTAAGGATTATTTCAATTCAAGCAGCGTTTTTTTGTTTTTTGTTTTTTGGGCTTGTTTTTGTTAATTTAAATTTCAGTTATCACAGGTTTGAAATTGTTGTTTTTAACGTAGTCCTTCCTTTTGATTATATATATTGCCTGACCCTTTAAGTATTCATTTTCTTCAGTTTGTTATGAATTTCGCGCAAAGCTACACGAGTGCTATCTGCAGGGAAAGACTAAAGGGAAGACAGTTAGTCATCACCACCCACCGCCAACTCTTGGGCTGCCCTTTTACCATCGAATAGTAGGATTGACCGTCACATTATAACACCTCCCCACGGCTGAAAAGGCGAACATGTTTGGTGGGACGGGGATTCGAACGCTCGACCCGCAGATTGCGAGTAGAGCGCCCTAACCACTGGCCATGTATATATGTGTTTGTGTGTGCCCAGACCTATAGAAGTACGTTTAAGGGAAGAGATGAAATTGATCATCTAACTTCGTAAACTTTGTGTTTGCATTCATATCGGTTTTACTCCACACGTTATCAGCTATATTAGATCGTTTATCTATTTTACGTCCTCTTTATAGTTGAGTGCATTTATTTTTCCAGAGTTTACTACTGTACAAACACAAAGATGGAAAGCAGCTTTATTACAGATATAAGTACATTTCACTAATTTTCAAAACCTGAAAACAATCACATATTACGATTGTATACAGAACTAAATGAAATTCATTATATTATATATTAACCAAACTTTAAAGTTTGTAATATTTCTTATTACGGCAATTTTAATTACCCTTAAAACGATTCACCGACTTGGGAAGTTATGGAGATTCGTGAAACTTCAATGACATAAAGAATTACTCCGTAACAGAAACCAACTTCAATCTTGATACTCATCACCGAAGTAAACTCGAGTCGAAGCGCCTGTAAGATTACAAACGTGTTGTACAAAAGAAAAGAAAATTGAAGAATTAACGAAGTCGTAATATTAGTAAGATATATATATATATATATATATGTAGAATAAGCGTATAAATAAATGTAAGTTCGTTGCCATGGTTACATGTATGTCCCATTTTGGGGGCATTACCATACGAGTAACTACCAGGAAGAAGATAATTCCCCTTCACACTTTCCCAAATTTACTAGTGTTAACTTTTAGATAAGTAATAAAAATCAATCTGGCACTATACTCTTTTTTTTAAAAGTGACAACGAAAACGTTAAAATAAAAAGGGTACACTAATCAATGTCATATAGTTAACTTTAGTGTGATTAGATGTATGAATATTGTGTATATAACGTATACTAAAATGGAATATTCTAAACAGTAATACAGAATTAATATTATCAGTATTTCAAGTTTCATTACTCAAAACATGATGGAAATTTACATCTTAAAAAATCTACAAAACAATCATTCCATTACTCTCAGTCATCCAATAAAAATAAGCACTTCAATTCTTAAACCTACATGTAAATCACAGTACCACCTCCAGCTTCTACGACGTGATGAACCATGACAATTTTGATGTAAAAAAAAAAAACAGCTAGTAGTTAATTAGCACTCAATAAAACTTACAGCTTAACTAATCATAATTACTCCTCGGTTAAATTAAGAACGTTGTCAATCTTGGAAAAAAAATATCTGAAGCTCAGAATTTAAAGCTACACGAGAGCTATCTGCGCTAGCCGTCCCTAATTTAGCAGTGTAAGACTAGAAGGAAGGCAGCTAGTCATCATCACTCACCGCCAACTCTTGGACTACTCTTTTACCAACGAAGAGTGGGAGTGACCGTCACATTATAACACTCCCACGGCTGAAAGAGCGAGCATGTTTGGTGGAGTGGGGATTCAAACCCGCTACCCTCAGATTGCGAGTCAAGCGCCCTAACCACCTGGCCATGCCGGGCCACGCTATAAGGAATAAAAACGTGAATAAAATTCAGGATGTAGAGCTACTGGTCAATATTTTATAAACATAACTTAAAAGAAAGCTATAAATAAACATTGGAAAATAAAAGAACAAAAAAGGAATATAACTATGGACTTAATAAATGAAAAGTTGTATATTTCTAATTATTTCTTTGTCAAAGATTAAGAACTCCGTCCGCACTCCTAACATTAACGAATTTACGTATTAGTTGACAACAGTGAACTAATTACAGTGTTTTAAAAAGCTACAAAGATCTAGATAATCGTTAGACAAACATTGAAGGTATAAATTAAGGATGCGTGTTTTGTTTTTGTCGTTCTTCGGTATTCCTTGGGGAAATGAATTTAATTTGAATATACGACATCTTGTTTATATTACTCCATTTTCCCCTTTTGCAGAAATTTCATTGAACAGAATCTGGCTGACCTTGTTTTCAGACAGAAATTTCGTTGAACAGAATTTGGCTTACCTTGTTTTCAGACAATCTCACAGACTAGAGAAAATTTTCCTGTGGTCAAATTCTCTTCTGTAAGCATCTCAAAACTCACTGTAACAGAGTTTTTGTAGCGACCGCTAGACACAAGACGGATAACGGAGCTGTTGCACAACACGTCAATAGGTGTCTTGCCTAGAAACAAACATTTATAATTGTATCTGTATTTTTTATTTATCATAAAACTACTACAGCTATCTCCCGCAATCATTAATTATAAACAATGTCCAGGGGGATATCGGCCAGTCAATAGTACCCTACTACCCCCTATCAACGCCAAGAGATTAATTATCATTCTTATAACGTACATACAACTTAAAGCAGGGGGAATGTTTTGTGGTTTGCACGGATTCGAAACCGGTTATCTAGTTCTAAAGAACTCTATCACCCCGTGCCAAACATTTAGAAACTAACTATCATTAAAGATCATACCAGTATGTTCACAAAAACATCTAAATCCTCGTTCTCCATACTGATATAGAATTTCAATCGCTCTCAGTCTAAGTAATTTGAAGAATTATTTCTGTACCCAACTTTTTAAATCTGCCTACTAAACTGCTAAAGTGAATAATGGTCAGATTAATAACCTATGTGAGAAAACGATAAGAATTTCTTATATTCTGTAGACGAAAAAACAAAGATGAACTTTTTGCCATTTGGAGCCTGGATGGGTTAGGTTTTTCAACAACTTTCGCACTCCATAGTTTGATCAACTACTAGAAGCAGGTCTTAACATTATATAGGTGGTTATGCACAATACACAAAATTCTGTTTAAGTAAATAATAAGCAAGAAAACTTCCTTCAGTTTTAGTTCAAGAATGTAAGATACCCCAGAAAATAATCTATCACTTCGTTAATGTAAAGTTTTGAATGAGATATGTATAAGTTATAACAACGTAAAACATGATGGATTTTAATACTAATTCATAAACATCTTATTTCAACTTTAAATTTACTCATTTGCCTAGATATTAAAATGAGGAGTATAAAACTGTAGGATTTAAATGGATTTGAACGTCACACTTATACCGCACCCACGATCCCAAGGACCAGATTCACGTCCGGTAACGCTAAACAGATGTCGCTTAAAATTGCAGGATTTTCCAACTCGAACTTGTCCTATTCCACGAATATGAAAACAAAGACGCAAGGAACGAAATTTTAGCATTTAAAACAATAGTATCTATATGGTGTTAAGTGGTATCGCTAAAACAAGGAAAGAAGTTATTCTAGCAGTTAAAAAACAAGCTACTCCACGGCCGATTACCAGTCGCACACCGGAGGTAATTAAGAAAGTTAAACATCTTGTCACTGGATATGATCTAAGAACACAGTGGTCCATTTGAGCTAAAGCAGGAACCACCATTGAAACTGTAAACAAGATAATTCAGACGGATCCTACTTTGGTCAACAAAAACGAAGAGTCGTGTTCATAACCTTCTCCCAGAACACACAGTCGAAAAGGAAATCAATGTCAAAACCTGTGTAAGTATTACCTGGCATCTGACAAATGAAATTATGTCGTAAAACTGGATGATGTATATGCTAAGCAATTATGCCAAAAAGTCCAAGTAACTGATGACACATTCTAAAAAGGTATAGTGCATGTTACAAAACCACTCACCCCCTAAAGGATTTATGATGGCTGTAAATTACAGGAGGAGGAAGATGGAAGACGATTTAATCATACCAGTGTTACGTCATAGAGAGTCAGCGCCTATGAAGATCCGAGACCTAACTTATTTGTTTACAGAATGAAACTCGAGTCGATACTGCCAATGCTTATTAGCTGGATTTCAGTGGAAAAACAAAAACGTTCTGCGGAATGTTCGAGGGACATCATGTTTCCCGATAAAAATAATCTTGAGGCTGTATGAACATTTTACATTTATCATGTATTAGTTATAGGTCATTTGATCCAAAAACATACCACATACAGTTATATTCATGTACTATGTCCAATACAATATTTCATTTAATAGGTATTCAAATCTAAAACACCATGCATTATACCATTTGGACGATTATGTTTTCAACCCGTATTTGCGCATGCGTATTTGTATGCATCATGTAAGCATAAGATTTTGATTTTGGCCCTTTTTTATGTGTCCTTATTCAACTATTGATATGCTATCGAAATCTTACCAACGTAACGTTTGTAGTTTCTAATTTTGGGGTTGTTCTGGTAATAGTCAGATTTCTGGCTAACATTTTCCTCCATAAGACTACTTTCCTTTGATTTATAGCAGTTATCATTTGATCTACCACAGAGATGTGTATCTCTAGATTATCGGTTTCTATCTTAAAAACGGCGAACTCCTATTAAGTTCGTCTACTAATCACCAATCCTTTAAAAGCAAAGGAAAAATGAATACTGTGTGATAATATATGTATATATCCGCTATATTCATTTTCATGGTCTAAGCTTATAAAGAATTACTGTAAATCTCATAAGCGCTGCCACTATATTTTTCATATGGCAAAAAGGAAAAAAAATTGTAATGGTTTCTTAGTGAGATTCACATTCTTAAAACACTCACAAGACGTGTATGTTTCAAGCACCTTTCAAAAATATCAACATATAGTAACGACTACACTGACCAAATGTGATAGGCGTGAAACATGAAGCTTTCCGTATGACAATACTGCTTTCATGTTTGGTAATTTTCCGAAGCAAGTCCAACCTCGTCAGATTTTTTTGGATTCATGGCCGAAAACACCGTTAGCAAAGAGAAGACCTAATTAATACGTATTTAACTCATTTAGTTGAATAAAAATATTTTTATGACATTAACTAGCTTTGAGAAGATAGATAAAATTAGTATCGTATTCTGAATGCAATTAAATATAAGTATTTAATCACGACTCCTAGTAGATACCATGAAACCTCTATCTATCCAACTGTTAATAAAAAACCATGTTACTATAGAAACACTACTTTAATATAATGAATTCTGTTAATGACGTTTGAACTAATATGTTTGTTGTTATAATTCAGAAGCCCTAATAATTGGCTTTGGTAAAGTTCTCTAGAAACAACTTGCAATTGTTATGGGTTAGAAACCCATAAACAGCTTAAGTTAAGGGTCATTCATTCGAAACAAATAAATATTATAATCCAAAGGAGAGAAAAATAACGTTTTACTTTCTTAAAAATCTTAATGCATGTATGGTCAAAACACCCATGGGGTCTTACGTTGTTGTTTAAATCTAAAGCTTAAATGATTAGAACACCCATGGAGGCTCATCTTTTATAAAGTATAATAGGCAGTGATGATTTAGATGGTTAAAACACTATATGGCGCCTTAGCTTTTTCTAAGGTCAGGCAGGCAGTGATGATTTAGATAGCTAAAACACCCATGGAGTCTTACCTTTTTTAATGTGTGGCAGGCAGTGATATATTAGATGGTTAGAACACTCATAGAAGAAAATACAGTTTACAGCATAGGTAACATACAAACAGAAGTAAATTAATGGGCTACAAGTTGCCAAAAACGTTATATATACTTGTCTTTGAGAATACGCTTACGAGTAAGCGACTTTCACCACACTGTAAAGATTAGAATACGTACAGAATTTTATACATCCGACCCTAGTATACATTATAAAGATTTTGTTTGTTTTTTAATTATGCACAAAGCTACACAAGGGCTATCTGTACTCTGCCCACCACGGGTATCGAAACCCGGTTTCTAGCGTTGTAAGTCCACAGACATACCGCTGTGCCACTGGGGGGCACATCATAAGAAAACATATTTACACGCACATAACTACTTTTCGAACATTCCCACCCGTCAAGTAACAAAACGTTAACAATATTTACCACTGATTAAACTGTTAGTGACCATAATGGTAACAAATCAAAAACAAAAGTCTTGAAAACTTTCTTTTTAAAGAGGCTATCCAGATTCCCTCATTCATGATGCAGGTATCAAAACTAGTTCATAAACAAAGAAACAAACCTAAATCCTACCAAAAAAAAACAAAAACACATTTATTAACATACCATCAGATCAACAAGCAGATCAAATATATTATACTAAACTATTATATTTACTGAAGGCCTAAACACTAAATCTACATCCAAGGACCCATCTGCTGTTACTTACAGAAATGACACAAACCTAACAGAAACCCTGGTCAACAGCAACCTCAACAACATGCAAACTTGTAAATTAAATTAAATGTGTCGCCCGCCCACACACACATATATATATACATCACCACAGATATACAAAGAAAACACACGATTTTCCACATAAGACAATCCTTTACATGTACTACTGAATTTATCATTTGTTGAATAATTTGTAAAAAAAATAAAAAATAGTGCTGTAGTTTATACATTGGACGAAAAGAACGCTGACTCGATGATCGAGCACATGTCTAAACTGTAGAACTAAGATACACCTCTAGGCAAACGTTTCATCAACAGCAACCATACAACTGAGGACTTTTCGATCAATGGTCTTCCAAGTGCTCCAACAGACGTCCACAAAAGAAACGACCAGACCTAAATGAACCTACAATCTTGGAACCCTACAACCTTCAACTTTAAATGAATGTTTACTGTGTTATAGAATTTCACTTTTTTCTATATTATTTTGATTGCATATAACCTGTTTTTTTTATCTTTTCATCTATTCTTTTCACGTTTTATGACTTATATAATATTTATGTAAAAGATGTAACTTTCAAAGAACTTTGTGCTTCAATGTTCAATATTCTACACGTATGCTTTTGTTCTACGCTTTACGATCTGACGAATATCGTTAGCTCCAAGCTTCTAGAAATAAATATATGATACTACTTTGGCAATTGATTTATTCTTTGATTTCTAGAAGACACTTGGAACCTTATTTTTTAAAGTCTGATAATTTAGCTGGTTAGAACATCCACGGAATCTTACTTTTTTAAAGTATGATAGTTTAGTTGATTAGAACACCCATGAAGTTATTTAAGTCTAATAGTTTATTAGATCAGAACATCCATATAGTCTTACTTTTTAAAGTATGATTTAGACTTTAAAAAAGTAACTCTATGGATGTTCTAATCAACTAAACTATCATACTTTAAAAAAGTAAGCCTCTATGGATGTTCTAATCAACCAAACTATCATACTTTAAAAAAGATCGACTCTATGGATGTTCTGATCTAGTAAACTATTATACTTTAAAAAAGTAAGACTCTATGGATGTTCTAATCAATAGTTTAGTTGTTTAGAACATCTATGGAGTTTTACTTTTAAAGTCTCATAATTCAGACTTACGGCTTAGTTGGCTAAAACATTCACTCAAGATCAGGGGTTATGAAGTTAAGTCCTTCTAAGTTTTCACATCTTAAGATAATCTACAACAAACAATTACGTAAGACACGTTATTATTTGATATTAAGTTATATCTTTAAACAACAGCAGATACATGTCACTCCTTATTACAATATATCTTCACTGAGTTAAGTCCCTCGACACAACAGTGCTTTAACTTGGGGTTTGACACTCCATCTTAAAAATATAAAAAAATAATAATAATCATTTGTAAAAAAAAAAATACAATTTGTAATAATATAACTCAAATTAAAGGTATCCAACCTGAATGACAGACACCTTCTGATATACATGGGCTGAAAAGCCAGGTCAAACATCGCTAAGGTTGAGGCATAGCGACCCCTAATTTTGAATCATTAGCCAGAGTTGGAGCTACTAGTCAGTAGCACCCGTCGCCTATGAGGATAATCTTAATTGCATATTGGGACTGACTGTCACAATTACTAATACCAGCTGAAAGTACGAACCGTGTAAAGATGTAAATCGTAGCTATAATATTTTATTTTCGATCCGCATGCTAACCATTAGATAATGCTAGGCCCGATTTTGGATTTAGACTTTAATATATATATATATATATATATATT